CAACGGAAAATCCTCATTACTTTATAAATGAATAGAAAGCTGAATGGAGTGGATAAGCTTTTTGAATAGTTGTCACATTTTTTATGAAGTATTGACATGAAGCTAGGGATCTTGTACAAACGGCTGGTGGTTTTGCGGTTGTCCGTCACACATGTCCAAGGATGGCTGACCTCAGGTGACCCTACAGTCAAATCTATGAGGTATCATCTAAACTGGCACACATACGAAAGCCGCTTTCTAATTTGTAATTCACTACTCATAAGGTTGCTGAAAACCCCTTGCTTGAGTTCAGTTCACTCAAGATGGTCAAAGATCTGGACAGTTTTGTTCAGCATTTGATCGAATTCCTCAAAAATGCTCACCAACGCAAATTTACGCTTTCAACACAGCATTCAACCGACTGTCTACTTTTCAAATTAAAAGGCATCGTGAAACCATTTTAGCACGCCAAAGGCGAGAAGCACACCTAATTTTCACTTGGAATCTCAAATGGCCTTTCCAGAAAATAAAAAATCCGACATATCAGACGAATTGATTCGATGGTGTGAATCATTCACAGACAGGAAACTACTCACAAGGTTGGTGAAAGCTCTTCGACAGCACACGACCGGTTTCGCCCTTCGTTAGACTCATCAGGTTGGCGCGATCCCCGAGAATCTGTCAATGTTATGATCTACTTGAACCCAAATTGCACTGTTTCCGAGAAATACACTCATTTGTAACTCAATTTGGTTTTCACGAGAGACTCAACTGAATATAAGGTTGACGGAAACTCGGGGACTCCGCCCAGTTGATGAGCCCCGTGAAGGGCGCAACCGATCGTGGGCTGTCGAACAGTTTTCAGCAACCTTGTGAGTAGTTTCCTTTATGAAAATATACTGCGATATCTCGAATATCGTGCCCACTGAATCATGAGGCGACCTGTGTGCAGCACACTCAGTTGCAGAATATCATAAACGAGAGTTTGAAATGAGTCTCTCATGAAAACCAATTGATTTGCAAATGAGTGTATTTCTCGAATACAGCCACAGACTACTTCGAATAAGAAGTGATCCTTCTTTGTTGAAACGCTTATCAGTATGTTTGAAGTTGTATGGTCTAAAAGCAGTCCGGGTGTGGACCGATTCCCGATAACGTGACAGGATGTTGGCCAAGCTTTACATCATTTCTTTTCCATGTACTGATGCCGTGCACTAGGTTAATTGAACCGGTACACCGTACTTCCCAGTCCATTGCATGAGAATGACCGTCTGGAACGAATTCAGAAGTACCCGGACAAGCATATAAGTGCATTCAGGTAAACAAACGTACATTAGCAGCGTTCTCAACAGTAATAAGCCATCCTCTTCTCATTATCCAACATGTGTGTAAAGAATGCACTGCGTGAGGTAAATTTTTTGAACGCATGCTGGGCGAAACCACCAACTGTACTCACTGCATCTTGACAAAATGTGCGAAACACAAAAAACCGGGAAAAGTACGTGATTCAGACGCCTCTAGTAACATTGGGGATGAAAACAGCTCTCTGTTTTGAGCATAGACTGGTTTTGAGTGGGAAAATGGTTTATCAGACAAGCAGTCACCTTTATTCCATAATCAAAGAGCGAGAGATTTAAATAATGGCGAAGATGCGACATCCATAAAGAGCTTCCGAATTTAAGCTAATTCGTTTGACTTCAACTTATGTTGCATTGTTTACAGTGCTATTAAGATAACACGACCTCCCTACAAGGATCGCTGGCCCCCTGAGTCTTTTGAGTACGTCTTCGCATAGTTCGTTTTCAGGAAAAAAAATATTTGATTTAAAAAAAAAACTTTAGGTTGCCAGAATGTACTTGTATCAAAACAGTCTCTAATGATTCTGGACCAAATCGGTGTTACTGACTGCACTGAAATGCCGAAAGGTGTTCTGCCTCACTGTCGTCACTCTACGCAGGTGATCAATTCCTGCTCAAATCTACAAGAAAGCATTTCATGCTGTGATTTTGTAGGTCTTTTGTCTAAAGCAAATGGGGACAAAAGCATAACTGAGTTGAAAGCCAGAGGCTCAGCAGTTGAAGTGGGAGCGTGGTGCCTACTTAATCGCATCAGACGAGACCAGATGGGAATTTTCTGGTAAGAAAAAGTTGTTCTGGAAACTTCCTCCGTAATCCAGCACCTTTCTTGAAACGTTCCACCTTACAATCATTTATTCGCTTGAAATATCGATCATTTCCACCGCATTGTTTAACTGCACTGTTTGAGACATTCACTTACTCTTTCAACCCATGGGACCGTTAACAAAACTCGAACCCGTGACCCCTGTTTGGTAGTTTGATCAAGCAAACGTCAGGTCATGAGCGGCTGAACAGCAGTGTGATTAATTCATATAAGACAATCAAAGTTGTTGCTGTAATAACGGTCCGATTTGATCCCAACTTGCCAGACGTATTATTAGGATAAATGCTAGGTGATCAACTGTTTAACTTAGGACCAAGAACACTTTCACAATGAATATTCATCCGGAATTTTCGTGGTTCCCGTCTGAGAGAGCCTGGCTCCGAACATCCATCAATCGTTTTCGTTTCAAAGTTTACACGTGCATCTTCCCGTTCTTTTAGTTTTTTCTAAATACGTTTATCTTATCTGCCTGATTTGTTTGTTTAATCACTAAATGCAAGTGTTTAGTGTTTTTACTGCGTCAGCAAGGCCATCATCGATATGTTCGATGGATTTATCCAACCAGAAATAAGTATAAGAAAGAATTAGCGAATATACACTCATTTGCAAAGTAATTTGGTTCTTTCGAAAGGCTCACCTGGAACCCAGCTGAATCTCTCGTTTATAATGTTTTCAGCAACCTTATGAGTAGTAAACTACAAAGATATATAAGAAAGAATCTTACAACGATCGCACCCGCCTGTAGTGCACGTTCACAATCTAGCAGCGTCTTTACCACCGAATGAGTGATAGTCATCCGATAAGGTGGCAGTTATGAATGAACCGTAAGAACTTGGGAGATGAATCTTGTGGGGAATAACGCAACCTAAAATGTGCACAAAGTGCGAACGAAATCAGAAAACGGACGAATGTCTACGAAGCCATCACTAATTTCATGTGCTTTTTTTGCCGCAATCTCCAACAACAGTTTTATTATCATTAGGTCTACATGCATTTTCGACGGATTTACAGGATGGCGTGAAAGGGGCATGAACTGAATCCGTATTATGAGGAACAAAGGCACACATCCTTGGAACTTCCCAGTCAAAACCTGAAGTGGTCCATTGTAAACTCTTCTCCTGTATGTCCTCTGAAGACTAAATGACCACAGAAGTATGTGGAAAAATGATTTTTTCGATAAGTAAGAAAAAAGAAACCTCTCTGAGGAGTGAGATCCGCTGTGTGACTGTTCCGCCGAGGTATGTCTAGCATATCTCTCTGTGTCAGATATGAAAACCTCATCTGACCTTGAACCGCAAGTCAGTTTTGACTGGAAGAACCTTGGTCCGTCCCGATGATGCTCAGGAACATGTGGACGCTGTTGATGCCATGTTTTGGTGATGCTACCGCGAATCTTTGAACTCTGTAGCACGATGTTGTTAAGCCGGTTTTGTGACAACAGCTTGTGGCTTGTATTAACCAGATGCAGACCTAACCTATCACGGAGCGTTCGGGGTACTGGACTGCAAATAAATGAACTTTTTCCAAGGGACCACCATTAACAAATGTATTCTTGGACTAGATTTCTAAACCGCATGGTATGCCACTCTCCTGAAAATGATTAGGCCCGAAAACGAGGCTAACCATTGTCCTTTAGCCCGATGCTTTCCTTCTTGAGAACGTGTCGTGTTCACTAACCGTTTTGTGTAGTCAAATAGCAACAAAACTCGGCAAATGAAAGTTCACAAGTTGCCAATCAAAACCATCGTTTTTGCACAAACCCTTATCGTATCACTTGATAACATCACACTATAACCGAGTTTGTCAGATGCAAAAAAATCAATCATTTGCTGCCTGGTCGGTAATGTCATGCAGAAGGGGGTCATCCGATCGATTCTTGTACGTGCCAAGATTAATATCAGTCTTGTAAAATCCTGTTTACGTTTTCATCTCCACTTCAGAATCTGATCCAAGGCCTATTTTTGTTTGTGTCACGTTCTTCACCTACTCTTTCTGTCGTAACCTTCTAAAAAACGCAAAAATTATTGATCACTTTGGTGTTTCTTCGAAGATACCTTCGGGGATATTTACACTACGTTTTCTGAAGTACAATCGCAGCTAGAATTTGGCATCATCTTCATTTATCCGATATCATCTAAAACACAAGTGTAAGGAAGGCTTATTACTGTGAACTGAAAAAAATCACAGATAGGACTCACACCGATATCTTCCCTCTGCTTATCGTATCAAAAATGACATCTTATGAACGTTTATTTATATCAGTAGATTTTTGCTTCCGATGAAAAAACCGTTCAGCTGTAGCATCCTTCCGGTGTCTAGCTGCCATGCCACCTGAAGGAAGCACGAGGGCTGGGATACTGCCAGGTTGCCTAAGCCTAGACAGCGTAAGTCGAGAGGTAGTGGTCGGATTTGAACCATGGAACTTCCGGTCATTAAATTCGCGCTCTAACCACTGGGCAATCTATCCTTCTTCGCTGGTAATACCCGAAATTTGGAAGGAAAATTCACGAGCGAAGTGCTGACAAAATCTCGGTCACTGCGGGAAATGATCGCTTCGCACACGCTCACCAGCAATTCCAGCCAAACCAATAACTTTTCTTACTTTATCTGTAATAGGATCAGATCGATACCTACTGGACAATAAAAACATGGGTATAATCATACTAGACAGTACAAAACTAATAACTAAGACGAATTCCAAACAAATCAACAAAACAGTGGAAAAATAATTATTAGTCTTCGTTGTTTTCTCACTCTCGAAGCACCAGTGCACATTTTTTCGAATGGTCTTTTGTCGATGGATTCCTGTTGGTCAACATAATCTTTACAAGACGCCAAAGAACCTTTGCTCTGCTTTTTTTCAGGCCAATTCTCCGGATGAGAAAGCTCTGGTCGATGCAGCTTCGAAACTGGGAATCGTTCTGAAATCCGTCAGTCCAGATCCGCACTATGAAAGTGCTCGTCGATTGACTTTCCAAATAAACTGGGGACAATCTCATGCGGACGTGACGACTCAAGAATTCACAGTCGATGCGACCCTGGAGTTTGATTACACACGAAGACGAATGACTGTGATGGTTCGTCACCCTGACGGGACATTTCACATTCACACCAAAGGAGCCGAATCGAGCATGTTAGAACCGAATGTGAGCGTGTACCTTTTATACTCGATTGTTAATGTATCGAAAATGAAGAGACTCCAACTGATTTATCCTCACATGTTGAAATCAGAACTTCAATCGAAGTCTTCACAATATATTTCTCGGTGTTTTAAGACTGACGCTCGACAAACGATGCACTCTGACCGTTTCATTCACCCAATCGACAAAACCGGAAATCCATATTTAGGCCAGCATCCGTATAAAAAGTCACCCAAGAGGGCCATGAAGGAGTATCATTGAAATGGTTACATACACTCATTGACAGCTTTGTTGAATCCGTCTGATTTTTATCGGCAAGCTGTTCCAACCAATGGGTTGTTTGCGACAAAGATTCCAAGCAGTAAACTCAAAAGACTTCGAAAACAACGTGTTTAATTACACGGCATGGTCTGCCAACAAAAAGACTTCCAGTTTGGCCTTCATTTGACTTCGTTACTCGCAATGCACTGCCTGTTTCCGCTTGCAACGAGCCCCTGTCGCTAGGCCGACTTCCTGGTTGTGCCCCTTGAAAATTCAAGTTCTTCATGTGGTCAGCTGACGCCAAATTATGGTTTATCAAACTATGGCATTTTGGATCACTGTGCCTACCACTTCAGGCTTTTAGCTAACAATAGACGCAGTCATCTTATTGGTATCACAAGCTTTTGTTGAAATAATAACTATACGTTTGAGATGTAGGTCATATAAAAATAGGTTCTGCATGTGTTTTAGTCCGTCGTTTCACCGTCCTTTAGGCGAAATTAGTTCTTCCAGAAATACACTCGTTTGCAAATCAATTTGGTTTTCACCGAGGACTCAGCTGAAACTCTCTTCTATAACATTCTACGACTGAATGTGCTGCACACAGGCCGCCTTATGATTCAGTTGGCACGATATTCGAGATATCGCAGTATATTTTCATTGAGGAAACTACTCACAAGTTTGCTGAAAACTGTTCGACAGCCCACGACCGGTTTTGCCCTTCTTGGGGCTCATCAGCTAGGCACGGTCACCGAGTTTTCGTCGGTCCCATGTTCTACTTGAACCAAAATTGGACTGTTTTCGAGAAATACACTCATTTGCAAATGAATTTGTTTTTCACGAGAGACTCAACTGAAACCACTTTTATGATATTCTACAACTGAATGTCCTACGCCCACCTGATGAGCCCCAAAATGGGTGAAACCGGTCGTGGGCTGTCGAACAGTTTTCAGCAACCTTCTGAGTAGTTTCCTCTATAAAATTAGTTCTTTTTCGTAGAAAGTTAACCATCAGATAAGTTGTGGAATACTATTTTGCTGTATGACTCAGTCACATGTACACCATAGATGACGGACGCCATCTCCTCCTTTTAAGTCGATGGTGTCTGAGAGTTTCACCTATACTTGTGTTTCCTGGTTTTCTTAAGCGAACGATACTACCCTGGGAGATCCGTTTTTGACAGTCGTTGCACTCAGTATCCATTGGTTCATCTCACCGACAGTAGCCAAATTATGTAGTTACATTTTGGTTGACAAACGTTTAGGTTTCAAGAATCCGGCTGTCGTAAGAGCATAGACGATAAAGTACATTCAATTGGCCCAGTCAGATATAGGTGCCCAATGGTAGCTTGGGTTGAAATTATCGATTGGAACACGCGTTAGTCTGTTTCAGTAGCTCTTGTATAGCATGACCAGCTTTCCTAAAGTCTTCAATGAACCTGTCAAATGATGCAGGCGATCGGATACACATCCAAGTCTCATAGAGAGACATACCCCATTTCCATGTGCATACCATATGGCATAAAGTGCAAGTGTATTAAAACACTTTTATTGTAGAAGAGTTACCTTACAGCAAGGTGAATCATGGACACGGCAAACTAACTTGGTGTACTTAGAATAGGCTTGAGTAGAACGACTCGTGAGAACGATGCTAGCTAGTGCAACGCAGGTTAAAAACATGGTTAGGACCCTAAGTATGCAGGATCTCATGGCATGCATTCCACGGGAAAAAGAAAGGTAGACGGTGAGCATTAGAAACCAACCAAAATTAAGTTTCGCACGTATATCGGAATAACCAGACGAACTAGAAATCCAGAAGTCAGTGTAACATAACAAGTAGCACGTATGTATTCGAATTGTCATATATGTACAGCATACGGAATAGTAAAACAGGAGAATAATGAATAGAGCAATGAATAGAGTATCAGTCGTGTTCATCACATCCGCCACACCTTGAATGAGCGTGTGGATGTTTATAGTCCAGTGGTGGTCTTGACCGCAATCTTTCGGATCTTCTCGGAATGGAAACTTCAGATTCTTCACAGGTTGTATGTTCTTCAGGTACGTTCTGTTGGGATACCATAAAATCATCTACAAAGGATTCATTGGTATTTGAAACAGCAGGAGTGCCGTTAACAGACTGACCTCTGGTACTGAATTCGACCTGATCACTATGTCTCTGATGAGAAGATAGGTTATCCAAATCGAGAATTGTGACCATCCGTTTGCCATTTGATGAAAGCACTATTCCTGTAGCAGGTCGTAAATCATTACCCTTGAAAAATGTAACGTCAGCCGTTTTGGAACAGTCAAGACTTGTACACAACGAACGAGATTTAAATAGAAGCGCGGGACTCTTCCCAGTAACGGATGAACGGCATTCCTGTATTGCATTAGAAAATTATCAATCACACGATCCAATTCCACAAAAGTAGCAGGAGAGAGTGAAATAATGGCGGACTTTAGTGTTCGCGCAAAATTCTCAGCAAGTCCATTCGACTGAGGATGTCGCGGAGCAGTAAACAGATGTCGACATCCAGGACACTTCAACCATTCCTCGAGGAATTTCGCAGTGAAGTTTACGACGTTGTCAGTGACAAAGACAGTTGGTACACTTTAATGGCTGAGCACTTTCCTCAATGCGTGCTGAGTGAATTCAGCACTTAGAGACGTAGTTAGCAAAACTTCAGACCAACGTTAATATGTGTCAATAACGACTAAAGCATAGTATTCGCCAGGAAGAGGACCA